TTTTCAAATTTATTATTCCAAAATACTAAATATTAGGCATTATTGGTGATAGTTCCATAAGTTTCTGTAGTTTAAGAATTTAATGATGCAAGATTATCAAATGTGCCATCATTTAATTGTCTAATCAAATAGATATGATGTTTGTGTCTTACCAATATCACATTTCTATCTTTATTATGTATAATTGGAAATAGAAAATCATCTTCACATTCATAATTCTTAATTAAAGAAATAGTTTTATTTGAATTTTATTTAAAAACTCCATTTTATAATTCAAATACCAAAATATCATCCTTTGATTTAGTTACCCAAAGAAATAATTAATCATTAATAAAATGGATTTTGTATCCAACTTCAACCATCTGTTTATATTTAAATTCCCATTTTCCTTACAATCCTTTCTCCCATATTATGAATTCTCCATAACCACATGATGCCAATACAGTTTCAGATTAATTAAAACTCAGTGACTCTACGCTATTGGTATGTTAATCTAAGGAATACAGAAAAGTCAGATGATTCTTAATAAAATCTAGTTTCCATACTATTATCTTATGATCATCTCCTCCTGAAATAAGTTGATCTTCTTATTTATTTAATAATAAACAATTAACACTACCAGTGTGTTACTCGAATGGTTATGAACACTTCCACTCATTTTGATTAATTTATTACCAACATATAATTTAGTGATACATGCAACCAGAAATAAAGTTATTTGTTTATTTGCTATACACTAAACACCAAACAGGATTTCTATGTTCATTATAAGTATTAGATAATTTAAATCTTCCTTATTCAAATTTCCATATTTTAATCCCACAATTATCACATGAAATCATAATTGATCCATCTTTATTGAACACTATTGCATAACACTACAATTCCTATTAATTTGAATCATCAATTAAATTAAATTGAACTTATTTATACTTCATCAATTATTATTTTAATTACTTCTATTCATTGTCAACTTAGTTCATTTCCTTTTAACCCTAAATAATAACTTCATACTTTACTTAAATAAATATTTTCTTTCCTTTATTCTCTTTTGTTTCATTTGCATTTTTTAACTTTTGTAATATGTTTTCACAATTTTAACCTTCTGAAAATGATTTGAATAAATTAACTTTCTTTTCAATTTTTTGATTGTATGATAAATAAATTTCATTAATTTGATCAATTAATTATTTCTTACCCAATTCTTCTAATCTTTTTTAGTTAATTATATTGTCCAATTCATTATAAAAACTATAAGTAACATTTTATTACCCAATTATGTTTATATGTTTAATCCATTCATTTACATTTCCAATAATTTAATCTAATAATTAAACTACATTAGATTTTAATAAAAAGAGACCTCTTTATAGTTCTTCAATGAGTTTGATACGGATCATTATAACATTCTCAACGTTTTTTTACTTTTATTTTTGATCTTCTTCTATATTCTATAAGACTTTTTAAAACTCATTAACTAAGCTTTTGATTCAAAATTTTCCATGCATTCAGAGCATAAAAGTCTCTCGTTTCTCTTTAATTTTTCATCACAAACAATCATAAGGACAGGAAGTTTATGCCTTAAAGAGCATTGAAGTTCCTCTTCTTTTTCTATCATCTTCGATTAAATCATTTTTAACTAATAAATATTTAATTAAATATAAACAATTTCAACTAAAACACTAAAAAATCTTATATTCTTAATATAAATTATAATGTGATATAATAATTAGAAATAGTGAGTTAAGGGAAATTCAGTCAAATGATGAGATCCTCCAATAATTCAATTCAATTCAATTCAACATCCTCCTCCGAGGGGCTAGGCTCGACCGGGTTGTATGGGGCTTCTACCTTATATCTCACTCTTCTCCCTTTTTTGTTGTCTCTCTTGAC